GAACCACAGCCTGGAAGAAGCGAGTCACCTGCCGTACCCAAATGCTATTACAGTAACACCATGCTTTCACCTTTTATCTTCGAGTCCTATGCGACCCAAAAGATGCTGTCGTTTTACAGGTGCACCCCACCTGGTTACGCTCAACCGCGAAATTGTCACTTATCCCGGTGAGTTACGTTGTCTTGTTTCATGTGTAAGCCCTTCACTGTATATCTCGCTTTGTAAACCATTGATCACACCTTGTACGTTCAGCTCAAAGGTTGTTTTACTCTTCACCCTAAATCACGGGCGTTGAGGTAAATTGCGTTTACTTTTCGTAGAGAGCATGAGCTATCTAAACTCCGTGCATTTCTTCATACCTCGTTTCCACCTCATCCATTGACCTCTATATGATTTCCTCTAACCTAGAGCCGCAACTGGAAATAAGGTGCGGTGCGGTAGACGACAGATGGCTATGCGCAATACATGTCCTAAACAGCGAAGACCACCAATCTGAATTCGATTTGACGAATTCTCCACCAAAACATTACCAAAAATTCGACAGCTTACAGCAGTGCTACTTACACGCCCATTCCATCCAACTCACGACAAACTAAGCGAGCATCGACAGCCGAAGACTTCTAGACGTGCAGATTTAGGGTCCCTCAACCGCATAGCAGAACTGACCGCACAGTGGTGCAGCGTACGCGACCTTTTAGTTTCAAAGAAACATCACGTCGGTGCCAACTTTAACAAAGCATTACTCATTGCGGCGGACTTATAGGTGGAGATTACTGAATACTAACAACTGTTACAACAATGTTTTAGTTTACCAAGGTTCGAAACAGTTGTCCAAGCCAAAAACATCATTACTTCATGCAGTAACCCACCAAGACATTCTGAATAAACCAAGGGACAATTCTGATTGCGCACTGTATTGGATCCTACACGTAAGAGAATCAAACATTCACAAACCAAAGAGCTTATAAATGGCTGGCACTGTAGTAGAGCACCTTGATGTGTTGAAAAGAGTTGACATTATGATCGGACTAGTTCGAATCAGTATTGTTTAGGGCCTCAATAAGGCTTAAGTGTTCGAGAGCAACCACTCAGTGCGCTTATGGCAGAGGCTCGCTATCTCATCTCCCACTAAAAAGATCCATTCCGTTTTCACTACCAATGTCTGTCCTGCACTGTATTCAATGCGGATGCACGTTCATCTCACACTGTCCACTCTCATCCGTGACCCCGTATAGCCAAAATCCCTGGGTCCCCTTTTCGCACAGAATAGATAATTTTCCGCAACTTATACTTCTTCAACACGAGATTATCTGATCGCCAGTCCGTGATGTTTGTAATACTCCTTACTTGTTTTCCAGCTGTACCATGATACCCCGTTGTGCAGTCGGTCCACTGGGCATTCTGAAAACTCCAGAAGGCCGATGATGCCGATTACTACTCATGTTAGCTAGACAAGCATCAGGTCCCTTGTGACAACTGGTCCATTTAATTGGTAGTTTTCAGGAGCCACAAAGGAAAACCACTTATGTATCCCCGTCATAATCATCGTAAAGCGGGACACAATGAAGCAAAATTCACTGATCCTTGACAATCTAATAATGCATACAAAGAAAGTGAGAATGTGTAAGAAGGATAGGGATTAGGCCTATTTTGAGGTACGGAAAAAGAAAGCGAAGAGCACACAGTCCAAATGTGCATACACAATATGTCAAGCGTTCTAGTCTGAAGAGAACTGACAACAAGAACGCAAACGCCGTCGGTTCGCTCTCATGACCTTTGGTGTCTTCAATCGATCGGCTACGGTCTTTCGGACCGCAACACGGAAGATGAGACACCTACTCCACCTAATAGCTATGCTCATTTCCTCACGCCTAGTCTCCTCGTTACCCGCTGACCTCGATGTCGAGTTCTTCAGCCTGGAACGGCAACTGTAAATGAGGTGCGGTGCAGCAGGCGATCGATAGANCGAAACCCGCCCTGACCAGCGGAGCCTGCCGCAATCCACAATCCTCAAGGCAGAATAAGTGTCATTGTCCTATTTTGTTGTGTAAACAGAATGATGCAAAGCACAATAAACACTTCACATAGAATAAATCTGGATTTGCTTTTTACGTGCTCTCTCCCATGACAGTATCTTCGGCATACTTATCCTGAGTATCGGTCGGTCGACAACAGATATTGGGGGGAGGAGGGATAGTGTTGTGTTGCCTTTAGTCAATCCCAGCGGATTTGAAAGTCGGTACTCCATTGTATCCGTTCTGTGCAAACTCTTGAGTACCGGATACAGACGAGACTGCACCTGTGATGGTTTGTGTACCTCTATGACTCAACGAGTTACAAGCGATGGCTTTTATCAAGCCGAGATCCCACCATTCCTAAAAAGCCCGAGAGCAGAAGTCAAACAACGTTGCTTCCTTGTCCAATTAGAGTTAGCATCTGTCGGTAAAACGGCGGCGGATGGCAGCGATCCGCGGTTTTCGCCTCATAGTATCGCACGTTATGATAATGGTAATTGCGCTCAAACGTGACGCTCCGACACCCCACAGAACATGTTTGGATTGGACAGGTTCCGTAGTGGGGTGGCGGCGGCGCGGTGGTTTAGCCCCCGTAACCGGCGTGCTTTGGACTCTATGGTCCGAGTCGGGCCACCGCCACCAGACTTTGGTGGTAGGCAGCTCTGCTGTCGTCCGGTTCGGTACCACGCCTAACCTATCGGGGCCTTATGTGGTTCGCCACTCCAAGTACCGGAGCTTAGGTTGCTGGTTTCCACCACTGTACAGCAGGTCTTCGTCTGCTGTTTGACACACGTGGGTATGTAATTGAAAAGTTAACTAGCATTACGTAGAATGTGTGCTATTTGCTGAAAACATCCATAAGAGAATTCGTCGAAGGGTTCAAGGGAGCATTAGCACCGACGGCTGCTCAATTTCAGTAGTTTGAAGATGATAATTTCTGATTTAGAGCGTCAAGCTCCACAGAACTCAAGTAGATTATTATCTAGAGTGAAAACAAATGAAATGATAAGAGTTCGATGGTCTGTCGATGAAAGAACACAGACTTGTAAGGTGTCACTACTCCCATGAAACCCATNATAGTACCGTGATCAGTCCACACGAACGACATTTCAGCTTCCCACGACTCAATGATCCAGTAGAGTGGAACGACTTCGTGATCGTTTAGTGCTTGAGAACGGAAACCAGGTCAGTGTAATTTAAAAGTCAGCTACAGAAGCGTCAAAGAGGAAACTGGCAAACCCATTTACCATCTTGAGAACCAGATTAGACGGGAAGAACGAAATCTTCATTGTCTCAAATATTCACTGCTTCTTCAAAAAGATCAGTCAAGAAATCTCCTGTACAAAATAGGGGAGGGGGTCATGGGACTAATTTACAGTACAGACGCTTCCGAAAGCATCAACGGCCTCCAACTAGGCTTTGATCACCGCCGCAAAGCGGTGAGACGGGGATCTCGAGAGGAGTCAAACTGAGGCGCATGTGGAGGGTAGGGACTCGCGTCCCCAATAGAGTGATGTAAAATAGGG